GAGAAAACAACATAAGCAGGATAACAAGGAGACTGGGCCTTCTTAGTGTAGGGAAGAGATGACAGTGGGAAACATAAAGTATATCTCAAACAGCAGCACTAGAAAAATCTGCTGCTGTGAATGTGCAGCTGTATGAACAGGTCTCCATTGGGAATGATTAGCTCATTGACTTGCAGTCATTTGCTTTGTTGTTGTACACTCATCTGCAATATGCCCCCACATTTCTGTTCCAGGGTGTTTCTGCTGGGACAGAGATGTCTTGCCAGGAACAAATTCAGGCCCAAAAGTGTAGTTTTGCTGACGGATCTTGCAGCCCTTTGTATTATCACAGGTTTGGGCCATCTACCCACAGTCTTTTTACAATCCCTAGAAATATGTGCACTCATTGAGAGCTGGCTAAATGGTTAGGAAGGAAGGAATCAAACCTAGTTAAAACCTCTGCTCAAATGAGCTGTAAGAATGAGAAGGATCATGAGGGGGAGATGGTAAAATTACACATGGGGATTAAACCTTCAGAAAGAGAGAAGTGTCAGAGCCTAAAGAGACAATGCCTTGGTTTCTGCCATCACCTGATAGTGTTCTGTTGTCTGCTAGGTTCTCATCTCTGTGTCCAAGCTGTGCTTTCTGCAGACTCCCTCCCCTCCTTCCAGCAGGCGTGGGCTGCAGTCAGACAGCACCTCTCTCCATCCCAGGCTGCTGCAGTACTATCCTGCCTGGGCAGGTGCTTCTGTTTCTCTAGCTGCTGCTCTCTGACCTTGTTTGTGAATTTCCTTCCTTTCCTTCTGGTTTGGGTCCCCAAAACAGTCTTGAGGAAAAGAAATTGGCATGGAGGTGATGGGTTGATGATTGGACTAGATGACCTTATTCGTCTTTTTCAACCCTAATGATTGTATAATTCTATGATTCTAAGTCTCCTTGTAAACAACAGGGAGATATGAGCAAAGTAGTTTTCTTGGTTACCAGCTGTGGTGTCTTCTTTATGTTCAACAGGTTTCTTTCCACCACGCAAGTGGAAAAATCACAGTGGGATTTCAAGGACAAGTGGGCCCTTTATGTATTTTCAATTCCAGTGTGTGCATGGCAGAGAGCAAGTTATACTGAAATTAACCTAGTATCAAGGAGGGGAGCAGGGAAACCTCTGAACAGGAAAAAGCTGTGGGCTTAAATTTCAGCAGACAGTAGAACCGTTCCAGCAGTATGGACAGCCAAACACTGTATGGTCTTCCTTAAGAGATCTGCAGTGTGTTTATCCCCAAGTGTTTTAAAAAACAAGTTGGACAAACATTCCTCACCCTTTGGGAACACTCAGGTGTGGACTGAGCCTGTCCCAAGGCTGCAGGCATGGATGGCTGCCTTGCTCTCCTTCATCAAGTTCTCTGTCTCTCAGATTCATTTACAGAGTGGATTCTTCTTGGCACTTTCTGGCAAAAATAAGAAGCAGTTATGGCATGCTGATTCCCTGATAGGAATTGAGAAGCAGAAGAAATTGAGGGTGCCAACTGCAAAGAAGTGAGGCTTTCAAAAGTGTGCCTTAAAATAGTGTTAGTTATTGTAAACCAAAATCACAATGAGTAAATAAAGATGAAGGCCATGCAAACAGGACAAGAACAAGTCATACATGAAGGAAGGTTAGTCCTACTGATAATACAGAAATAAAAAATGAGAGAAACTCTAAATTTATATGTTAGATAATGGGTGCTCAGCTTTGTATGTTTAAATAACTGATTTGTCTTAGTTTCCAAGGAAAAATAGTTTATGAAAATTGGAGGTCATGAACAGGCAGGAAACTGCATGAAGACAAGCTCGCAGCTAGAGGAGTATCCTGAGAGTGAAGCTCTGAGGTGTCTTCTATTGCTAAAGCAAAACAGCCTTCTCCTACACCTGAGAAACAGCTATACTCAGCCTGTTGTTCACTGTAAAGCTTCATTCTCTTCTCATGCGTCTAGAAAATCCTGTCTCTTCTCACACTTCTGATGTCTCTCACTTGCATTTTTTCCTGCTTTTCAATTTTCCGTAAATCCAAGTCAATTTAACAAATGAGACAGTGGAACAGACAGCACATAATTTATTACGTATATTTTCTTAACATTTGCCCATACTACACAGTACTAATTCACCACTACTGTTTTTAGCCTACCAAAGCATAAAAAGAGACAGAAGTTATAAGGCTGGTCCAGATGGACATCCTGCCTCCCTGCAGTCAATGGAGATGAATGGGTATTTTTAGGGAGAGGTTTATGTGAGGGTATTTATTTCTCACTACTGCCATCATATTGTCTTTCTCAGCAGCCATAAAGGGAATTATCTACAGTAGTCATCCAGGTTCAGTCAGAATCTCACCACGTTTCTAAACAATACAACCCTTTGTAGTTTTACAGACAAAACAGATTTGATATTTCATGACAACATAAGTGTGATTTCTGGCTTTGTTGCTGTGCCTTTCCTCTGAGACAAAGTTATTTTGCAGGAATGCAGTTACCTGTGAAGTGACACGTCTCCTCCCTCAAGCTGGAGGTCAGGCAGGTTTGGCAGTGTGTGTGTTACACCTGATTTGCACTTAAGTGTAGGGGCCACTTTGGACATAGAAGCTGCTGGGGACATGGCTACTGAGAGCTGGTGGGTAGCAACCATTATCTTGGTGAAAGTGTGGGAGAAAAACTGAATGGCCTGGAGCACACAGTAACACAGCCATTCATCAGGAAGCACCCCTCTCTAATTATTGGCTTCTCTTTTGGTAGATGCTGTTTATCTCCATTCCCCCTCTGAGTTCCCAGGCACTTACTACCTTCCGCCCTTCATACAGCTCAATGAGAACACATCACTGGGATGATCTCTGTGGCCATTTCTTCTGCCTTCTTGTTCCCTTGATATGTCTCTTCCAGTTTCCTGTAGGCTTTATTACCCTCAGGGACAACAGACTCGGCAGAGTTTTCTTGTCCTTCACTTGTCTCTTGGCCAATCACTGTGTTGGACCCCTCCCTGCTCCAGAGGCTTTGCTGTGTCTTGCAAAAAAGAGAACATGATACCCAACATAGAGGGTAGAATGGATGACTGAAGGTTGAGATGCAATTTCTACTTCTATGTTATGTTGCTAAAAGAAACTTCAAACTTCTAGATTAGCATATTTAATCTTTTGCGGGAAGTTCTACCGAATACATGGAGGGAGTGATGGGAACAGAATTTCCCTACCTGCCAGTGAAATAAAATTTATTACTAGGTTTTTTAAAAATTACAGGTTTAGAGAATTAAAAAGTAGAAAAGAATCAACCATCTCACATTTGACTCTGCAGGTTAGTAGGTAGTTTCATTGGTTATAAATGGGGAAAATGATACTTCCCTGGTCCTTGAGTGACAGCACTACTCATTCCTCATGGCTGAATCCCAGCCCTCTCCCCCATCCCCTTGCACACTATGGGCTCCTGGTGCCCTGGGACCCCTTCCTGTGCTGCTGGGAGCAGATGGGCATCTTCTGACGGGGTTCTGCCAGGCCGTGGGTCTGCAGGACTGCTGTTGGAGGTGATTTGGGACGAGAAAAGTATAAATGAATGTGGGGATCCTGATTTTTCTTTGTGGTGTTACCACTACGTCCCAGTTGTTTCTTTCTGCTTCTTTCTGTTCTCTTGCAGCCAAGGGCAGGTCTGAGTGTCCCTGTCTGCCCCTGTGTGACTCTACCTGAGCAAACACACCTGGCTCAGCAGCCACGGTTGCATGGTTCTTGTGATGGAAAGCACCTGTCCTCTGGGCTCTGACACCCGCCTTCAAGAATCAAAATTAAAGTTCCAGTCTCAAAGAAAACAGGCTGGGCCTCCTTCACTTGGGGTGATCTCGTGGTGCCTTCCACAAAAAGGCTTGCCCACATTCCTGTCATCACCATTTGCAGATATTGTCACCTACACAGAAGTGTGGACTGGTAGAAGGAGAATGCAGAGTGAAGACTGGAAAGGGAACATCAGCTCTTACTGGGGCAAGAACACAGCAAAGAGTGAAAGAGAACCCTAGAAAAGGCAAATGTTGTCTTCCAGTAATTAAAGGTTTGGCATCCTATCCTGCTCTAAAATCCTGGGCCAGAGGATATATTTATAAATTATATTCTCCTCTTGGCCTCTTGAACAGAGAATCAGCTCCTGCTAAGCTTGGCTGTGGTCTTCAGGGAGCATGGGTTATCTGTGTGTGAAGAGAACCTTTCAAAAACAGGGATTCAAATTCATCTCTCCCTGCATTGTGCCATCCTCAGAGACTCAAATTCAGTACCACCTTTCTGGATAAACTGCCATAGACATTCCTCCCCAGTGGCATTTATTTTTCAGTTACTTTGAGACTTGCTGGGGGCACCTCAGCATGTCTGACCGGTTAAGCTTGTGACAAAGCACAGCGTTTTTTATTGAGATAAAAGTACCAGTGAAAACAAAACGGTACTGAAACCTTAAATAGCCCATACATCTTGGTTGCTCCGAAAGTAATGCCTTCCATTTATTTCCATGGAAAATACATTCGATACAAAGAACACAATAACACTGTTTGATAGAGCAAATTCTCAGCTACAAAAAACTATTCGACATAGTCATTACCATGAACTATGTATTTTCACCAGCAATGAATGAAAGCTCATAGCCACCTGCACCAGTGGAGGTGACTCACTATCTCTGTTGCCACTGCTGGAGTGGACCACCCCCCACCTCACTGTGCTCACATCCACTGTTTATTCTCCATAAATGTTCAGCAAGGATCACTGAATGTCAATGGGCAGCAGTTTTTCCTCACTGAGTGTTCAGTTCCACACCTTTGCTTCAAGTACAATTCCATTTCAGCTGCCATTTTGTCAGACCACTCCTCTGCTGCCATCTGTCACACAGCAACAAAATGGAATAGAACACTGGTGGGAAGGCTTAGCCTCTACTGACAAACCATCAGCATTCACCTCTGATGTCACAGGCCAACATAACCAGGTCTTCCTATAGCTCTCCAGTGACAGCGGGCATCTCTGATGTCCCAGCATTTGCTGCATGTTGGTTGTCAAACTGTTCTTCCAAGAGAGCTCCTCAATGGCATGAGAAACAGGTCACAAGTGCTGTGTTGCTGCCTGGGTAGGAGCTATTGTTCCTACAGTGACTGTTGACAAATTGATAGGGAAACTCAAGCTGACTGGACAGGGTATAAGTTCCCCTGTCCACACACCAGGTCCCCTTCAGATGCAGAGTGGAAGAGATGAAGGTGTTCACACCAGCAGCGCTCATCCTGCTCTTTTTCTACACTGTGGATGCAGGGACACGTGAATACACTTCTGTCATCACTGTGCCCAATGGAGGCCACTGGGGAAAGTGGGGCATTCGGCAGTTTTGCCGCAGTGGCTACGCCAATGGATTCGCGCTGAAGGTAAAACTCTCCCTGTTTTCTTTGCCTCCTGTTTCTGTGTCCTGCTCTATGTTTCCTTGAGGGTCTTCCCCAGACTCTGAGGGATTTCTGAAGTATTTGTCCTCCTCCTGGCTGGCATACTGCATATCAAATTCTGAGCCTTTGGGAAAATGTAGCCACCAGAATTACACCAGCAAACTAAAAATATGGTTATCTACCAATTAATTCATTTGTTTTCAAGACAAGAGCCCTCACATTACATACAGTAAAAACAGGGCTACTGCCAGAATTGTTTTGTTGCCAGAATGGGCAGGGGTGTGCAGGCATACTCATGTTCTGCCTGTGACTGACTTTGCTGGAGGAAGCCACATTTATGCCAAAGTCAGGGTTCAGTAAAGCTGACAGCCTTCTCCAGTGTGTCCCCTGGAGCTGAGTCTCTGCTTGTCAAACCAGAAAGAGTTAAAAAAAAAAAAAAAACCCACAAAGAAGGGCATGTTGCTTGTATTATGTAGCTATATAACTGTTACTTGATGTGACAGACATCTTTTCCTACATGCTTTTCAAGGTATTTTTTTCAGTACAGAATGGAATTAGGACTTTTTAAGACAGGCACTTAGAGGGCTTTTCCTGGCCTTCTCCATCTTGCTTTTATCTCTGTGTGTTTCCCACTGCAGGTTGAGCCCTCCCAGTTTGGCAGAGATGACACAGCTCTGAATGGCATACGGCTGCGCTGCCTCGAAGGCTCAATCATCGAGTCCTTGGTGGGGAAGTAAGTAACACTGGTTCCTCCTCCACTTGTCATGCACCAGCTCACAAAATATCCCTAAGTATCAACATTTATAGAGGTCTCTTCTTTGACTTACTTTGTTTTCTCAGAGCTGGAATAGAAAGTAAAATAATGCAAGTGGTTGGATATTTTATTTCATTCATTTTTAGGGCAATTAAATAGGGGTACTTCTCATCATCACCTTCTGTTTGCTCTTGAAATTTCTGAAGAGCATTGGGAACACCTTAGGCAGAGTGTGTGCTCTCACTGCTCTCTTATGTGTACCTGTGAGCCAGTCAGGGATTTATCATAAAACATGTATTCCAGAGAGGTTCTAGCAGAACTGTCACTATCTGGAATTTTCTGTTATTTCTTCTGATAAGATACCAATAAAGAGAAAAGTACATCCAAAGAAAGACACAGAATGCATCAGGACATTGTAATAGTCACTGCTGAGAGCAAGGAGCCACTAAACTTGAGGACAATGTGGAAAGGAGAAAGGGTACACCCACTGGCCTGCAGAGCCCAGAAATTCCTGTGTCTGCTTTTTTTGGCAGATGGGGTACCTGGACCAGCTTCCTAGTTTGCCCTACAGGCTACTTGATCTCCTTTTCACTGAGAACGGAGAAGTCTCAAGGAGGAGGTGATGACACAGCGGCCAACAACATCCAGTTCAGATGCTCGGATGAAGCTGTTTTAGTAGGTGATGGACTATCATGGGGAAGATTTGGCCCATGGAGCAAAAGATGCAAAATATGTGGTCTCCAGACAAAGGTAGAGCCACCACAGGGATTTCGGGATGATACAGCGCTCAACAATGTGAGATTCTTCTGCTGTAAATGAGCACTTGCCCTGTCTTCATCACTGTCCCATACATCCCACATCGCACATCGAATGAGACGTCATCAAAACTTTGCTCTAACTTTATACAGGGAAATGTCTGTGAGTTGCTGACTAAATCCAGCTTTTTGATCTGGAGGGAAGAGGTGAGAGACAGAACCATGAAAGAAACAGCAGAACAGAAAGACAAAGAAAGAACAATTACAAACAGAAATGAAATGAAGGGGAGAGACTCATTTTAGTGACTTAACTTCTTGTGGATTAATTCCTTGCACCTTTGGTTTCTTGTGGCTTAGCTTCTCCTTGTGTCTTGCCATGCCATCTTAGAAGATACTTAGATCATGCCTTAAATGATAATACTTCTCATAGCCTCTGTTGCTTTACCATAACTTCTCAAGTATATTACCCAAGCATATTGCATTATGTAACAGCTAGTATGTAACTGTGAAAAGATCAAATCTCTAACAATTGCCTACAGCAGTGGAATAGACTTCTTACCTTCCTTTACTCTGACTGGTGAGTTTCTTTCAAGTTTGCTTTGCCTGTTTGATCTTTATTTGAAACAATATTTGACCTTTTGACATGACCAATAGGGAAGAAAGGATATTAGTTTGGAGTTGTGCTTTAACCCAGCAGGCAGCTTAGCACCACACAACTGTTTACTCACTCCCCACTCCCAGTGGGATGGGGGCAAGAATGAGAAAAAAAAAACCCACAAAGTAGAACTCATGGGTGGAGGTAAGAAATGTTTACTAATACAGAAGAGGAAGAGAAAAAAAATAATGGTAATAATAATGTACATAGAATCATAGAACCATAGGATCATAGAATAGCTCAGGTTGGAAAAGATCTTAAAGATCATCAAGTCCAACTGCAACCTAACCATCACTACCCTAACTCTAACAACCCTACTCTAAATCCTGTCCACATATATGTATAAATCAGTCCACACACACACATATATATTTATATAAAATAAGAGATGCACAGTGCGATTTCTCATCACCTACTGACTGATGCCCAGCCTGTCCTTGAACAGTAGCTGCCTCCCACAGCCAGCTTCTCTCAGTTTTACAGCTTCTGCCTGACACCATGTGTTGTGGGACATCTCTTTGTTCAGTTTGTATCAGCTGTTTTTGCAGTTTAATTTCATCAAGAGTTGTATGCATGTTCTTTTAGTAGTCTTTTAGGTCACAACTGAGATCTTGCCTTAGGGAACACGGTTAGAAAGTGTACTTACACTGTGCATTCACATAAATGCCATGGGCCTGAGTTGTACCTCCCTAAACTTCTCTTGTTTCCGTTTTGGAGTGTGCTCAGCTTGTTTGCCTAGCAGTTAATGTTAAACTCAATATCATGGGCTTTGTTTTTTTTGTTTGTTTCCCTCAGGCTCCATGCTCCAAACAGAATTAGAGAGAATCCACAACAAAAATAAACTCAACATCATTCATCCATTTTTATGCTCAAATTTGCTGGATAAGTTTGGAGTTAGAACCTTGTCCTGTTGTGCCACATATTGGTTTTGGGAAAAATTGTGCCTGGAGTTTATTATCAAGCTTTATGTCTGAGCCATTAGACTTCTCTGACGAGAGTTCAAGAAGACTTATTGTCTCTCTGAGCATCTTTTAGAAAATGTACCAGTTGTCTTCCCACAAAGCAATGGATCTTTTTGCACTTTGGCCAAGGCAGGGGCATGGTGGTGCTCTGCTCCAGGTGACGGGCTGGGCTGTGGTGTCTGAGGGTATAGCAATGTGGAGCAGCACTGAGCTGATGGATGGAAGTTCCTTCTTGCAGTTCACTTCCCATGCTCCGCAAAAAACATCACTGTTTTAATTCTTCGGCCATGATAAATTTTCTTCTTGTCACCTGCATAAAAAATACTACAGTAATAACCACATTTTCTTTTAAGAGCAATGTTTTAAGGCTAAAAAACAGAACAAGCTTAATATTTGCTATGTTTAAAAGAGTTTTGATAAAAAATCAGGGGATTACTGTGGAGTAGCCCACTGGTCTATCTCTGTACTGTTTCTGGTTGCAGTGCCCCACATTGAATGCCTGATGCAGTAAAGTTTATCTGGCTCAGGGAAGTGAGGGTACGAATTTTATTGGTGAAAACAACACCTATCACAGCATGTTCATTGGAGATTTGATGTTTTGTAACGTTTTCCAGTGCTGGCCTTTGGAGCACACAGCAATTTTTCACGATGTCTGTGTCATTTTGCCTCCTAGATCCCATTTTTGACAACACGAGAATTTTCCAAATGGTGGGTGATAAATGGAGAAGTCAGCCATACAGAACTGAGGCTTGACTGAATCTGCAGCAGCTAGCAGGGAATAACACATTTCTCTTGTCTCTGTCCATACAGTACAAGGAGTTGAATCTCATCTTCTTTTTCCTGAGGCACAGCTGGAATAAATGAATGCATCTCCACTTACATCATTCAAAGTTATTTCAATTGAAGTATTTGTCAAAGACTCAGTAATGCAAGAAGAAACCTTTCATGCATTTTATTTAATTACAAAACACAAACAAGAAGACACCCCAAATGAAAAAGGAAAAGGAATAGAAAAAAAAAAAAAAAAGGAAAAGAAGTAGGAAAAGGAAATAGAAAAGAGAAAGGGAAAAACAAACTTTCCAGGTCTGAATCTCTGGTTAAAACTTGTATAGTTCTGATTTATTTAATCTGAGGATGCAATTTATTTCTTAAATTCTTAAGCTGCTTTTTATAACTCAGTATTTATTCAGTGATCATTTAACTGCTTTCTGTGCTGCACTTGACTGCAGACATTTTAAGCACACAATTCTTTTTTCAGATGAATGCTCATTTTGCAAAACCAGCCCAGACAGCATTTGAAATAAAAGGGATTCATAGCTTCAAGGAAATACTTTGTAACTTCTGTCTCCATTTGGGATTTGCTGAAAAACCTCATATTTATCATATATTCAGCTTTTTATAAACATTCAAATCCCTCAGCTCTAGTACTTAGTAGCAAAAAACAAAAAACATTCGAACAAAAAACAAACAAAAAAAAACCCCACCCCAAAATAAAACCAACAAAAAACCAAAAGCATAACAGCAATCAAAGTTGCAACCTTTTTCTAGCAAGCTGAACTAAACTCAGTGAAAACTAGGTTGTGATGCTATCATTGTTAGTAGCAGTTTGGGACTGACTTGTCTTTTTATTTTTAAAGACACACTAGTATGACTTCCAAAACTACAGTGTTGTCAAACACCACAAGTGGACATACTTTAATTTGCTTCTAGTTGATTGCTTTCCATTTCCTTATGAGATAGGGAATATTTCAGCTTGCAAACTGACTATCCAATACAGTTAGTGAGGTATGATATGAAGACATAAGAATAACAACAGTTGCAATGTGTTGTGATGACACAGATGTTGGATTAGTCAATAATAAAACACAAGTGCCATGGGGAGTTCAGCCTGCAGGTTAGGAAACATTTCTCTACTGTGAGGGTGCTGCATCATTTCCCCCTGCTACCAATGGAATGGAAGTGAGAATCAGAAAAAAAAAAAAAAAGTAGAACTTGCAAGCTGAAACAAAAAACTATTTATTAGGAAAGAAAACAAGGAGAGAAATAATAGTAATGAGAATATACATATGTATGGTTACAAAACAAGTGATGCACAAAGGAATTGCTCACCACCTGCTGACTGATGCCCAGCAGTGGCTGCCCTCCCAGCTAACTCCCCTCAGTTTGTCGAGTTTTCTCACATGCTGTCACATGGCATGGAATATCCCTTTGGCCACTCTGGGTCTGCTGTCCTAGTTCTGTCCCCTTCCATCTCCATGTACCCTCTGTCCTTAGCTCCCTTGCTGGCAAGTCTGTATGAGAAGCTGAAAACTGAGATGTCCTTGGCTCCGTATAGTGCTGCTCAAGAACAACTAAAATATCAGTATGTTACCTACACAGTTTTTCTCTAAACACTAAAACATGGCATCATAACAGACACTACAAAAGAAAAATAAATTCTGTCCCATCTGAAACCAGAATACCTAGAGACAGGATTGATGCTGCAAGCCTATCAGTGTTCATTCAAGAGGCAATGGGGTTATGCCATTAGTGACATACTTCAGCTTTTGGTTATTAATGAAGTGGTCAGAATGTTGAGCTTGATGATCTTTGAAGGTCTCTTCTGACTGAACTAATCTAAACTGCTGCCTACATTGTCTTCCTGAGTCTGGGGAGTCCTTCTGCTAAGACAGTGAGAGTTCCATGCACTTCACAGAAGACTTAGAGAGGCAACTACTGGTGCCCTTCCATCAGAGTAAGTAGGACAAGTAAAAATTATCATGTAATCTATATTATGGTACTGCATGATCAGCATCAGCAGCAAACGCAAAAGCATGACATTTCAAAAGCTTTTCATCAGCATGGGAGTAAATTGCAATCCTGGAAAGGCATGCTTTGTGAATCTAAGTTTTCTGTACAGTTTCTCAAATGATCAGCTATGTTCTGGGGAAAGAGGTATGGTTGTTTCTCTGTTCCCTTGAAAGTGTTGATTTCTAAGAAGGCAAATTCTTGGAATCACCGTTAGTGCTGAACTGAAGTATCTGAAAGAAATAATTACATTTCTTCTGAGTGATTTGCTCAAGAACTGGTGCCCGTTTTCTGTACGTGTATGTGTAGGTAACCGGTAATTTGAACTTCAGATTTGATATTTCCTCTCAGGAGGGTAGGCTAAGCTGGAAGACGCTGAACATCTGCTTCTTCTCTGCAGAAGAATCATTCAGTTGAATTTTGAGGTTGTACTGGGGAAAGAATTATTCACACCATCAGCTAAATGGAGCTTTTATGCTTTCCTATTATGCCTGATGTAATACAGCATCATGTTGGGGTGTGAATATACACTCCAAACAAGAGCTGCTCCAAGAAATATTTGGAAAACAGAGCACTGCCTCCTCTTCATGTACTTTCTCTTGTATTTATCAGCAACTTCAAAAATCAAATGGGTATGTTTTTGTCATCTGTATACTGATGGAAAGCTTTCATCAAGGCCTCCTCTGATGGTCCAATTGGGTAACATCAGTCATCTACAAAAAAGATG